CAAGTGAGGGGGACTTGATTGGGGGAGGGGGAGGGAAAGGGGAGGCGGCGGTGGGGAAGAGACAGAAATCTTTAATAAATAAATAAAGGGAAAAAAAAAAAGCAAATACTGCCTGGCCCATTAGCTCCAGCCTCCTACTGGCCAACTCTCACATCCTTATCAACCCACCTCCATTAATGTGACCCACCAGGAAGATTCTAGCGTACTTCCATCTGGGGCTGGAGCTTCATCGCATCTGCCCTGGAGAGGAGCGGCATGGCGTCTGGCTCACTTCCCTTCTTCCCAACATTCTGTTCTATCTACTCCACCCACCTATGTTCTGACCTATCAGGCAAAGCAGTTTCTTTATTAATTAACCAATGACCTTCCCACATCAATAACTGAAGGCAACACGTGAGGAAACATGGTTTCCTGGCTTTCTCTCTTGCTTAGTCACCGTCTCAGGCTCAGCCATCCCTCTAATCCAGCCCAGGACCACTTGTCTAGAGATACTGACAACTCAGTGGAAGAGCCTTCCCACATCAATCGGAATCAACACAATCTCTCTCAGACACAGTAACCAGATGTTCTGATTGGGCACAACCTCAACTGATGCTCTTTCTCTCAGATGACTCTACGCTATGTCATGTTCACAACTGAGGATAATTAGGAAAAAGATACAATAACATACGAGATGGCTTTAAAGAAGTAGAGCCAATGAATTAATTATACCAGTTACTAAAGCAGCAAAACACCAAACATAAAGATAGCAACAACTGGAGAACACAGAAATGCCAGGAAATGAGACAAGGCAAGCCTCTAAGATCAAGTAGAGAAAACTAAAACTGTCTCCCCAAAGAAAGTTCCCAAGCCAATCAAAACTCAAGGAACTCTTAACAAGACACTGTATGAATACAAATTTGGTGAAGGTCCATTATTTTCCAGAAAATGAACGTAATTAGACTACAATTAATAAAATCAGCAGCACAGATGACACCACTGGCAAAACAAGACACAAAGGAGACCTGCAAATAAATATATGAGGGTCCCTTAAACAAGACACAAAGGAGACCTTGCAAATATAGATGAGGGTCCCTTAAACAAGACATAAAGAAGACCTGCAAATATAGATGAAGGTCCCTTAAACAAGACACCAAGGAGACCTACAAATATAGATGATGGTCCCTTAAACAAGACACAAAGGAGACCTACAAATATATGATGGTTCCTTAAACAAGAACAACAAGATCCTAATCAAAATCAAATTCCAAGTGATCACAACCACTCCTCCTGTGCATTCAGTTCTCTCCTTTGCCAGTCACAGAAAAATTGTTGGAAGGCCTGGCGTGGTAGCAAACACCTTTAATCCCAGCACTTGGGAGGCAGAGGCAAGCAGATTTCTGTGAGTTCGAGGCCAGCTTGGTCTATGGAGTGAGTTCCAGAACAGGCTTCAAAGCTACAGAAAAACCTTGTCTTGAAAAATTAAAAATAAATGAAAGAAGAAAGAAAGAAAGAAAGAAAGAAAGAAAGAGAGAAAGAAAGAAGGAAAGAGAAAATTAGTTGGGCAAGAAGATTGTCCCACCAAAATTGGAGATTTGCTTGAAGCTTTCTGATGTTTTAACTTTGTAGAAAATAGTTTCAAGGGGCTGGAGAGATAGTTCAGAGGTTAAGAGCACTGGCTCTTCTTCCAGAGGTCCTGAGTTCAATTCCCAGCAACCACATGGTGGCTCACAACCATCTGTAATTCTCTTCTGATAAAGGAAAGGATGTTTGTTAGGATCACATAGACACCATTTTGTGTTCTATGCTAGATGACCTCCTGAAGCCAACATGAGAGTGAGGAAATGAAAAATTTTCAAAATAAAACGCATGATAACAGATTTTAAAAGAATCGGTATGCACCCAAAACAACTGGTTTTGCTCTAATTGCTTTATAAGTCACAAGCACTTTTGAAACAAGTTTATTACTGCTTTTTGTGTATGTTTGTGCATGAAGAGAATACCTTCTACATGCAGACAGGTGACATATACATAGAGAGGGTGTCAGATTAACTGGAGCCTCCCAACTTGAGTGTTGGTATCTGAACTAAGGTCATCCCAAAGAAGAAGGTGTGCTGAGACACCACCCAGACACATAATACATTTTATTCAATAAACCAAAGTCTTTCATAGATTAACAACAACAAGACCATCAACACCTCACTAAATAAATGATCCTTGGGAATGTGCTGCTTCGGTGTAAGATTCTGTGAATGGGGAATTTCCGCCTTAAAGAGAATACAACCCAATAGCAGTGCCCAGTGCTTTATAACAGGAAAGCTGATTACAAAGATACACAAAGGGCGGTGGAAACACTCAGAGTGCTCAGCGGGATTATGAAAAACTAGCACACAGACTGATACAATGTGGCTTCTATACTTACTACAAAGCCACACAATCAAGGATGTATACAATATTTGTGAAAGGATAAAGGGAATGGAGAAAAAAGCCAAGAACAAAGGCAAGAAAATATAGCCAGCTTTTAATCAAAAGTCCTAGGGATGGGCTGGAGAGGTGGCTCAGTGGTTAAGAGCACTGGCTGATCTTCTAGAGGTCCTGAGTTCAATTCCCAGCAACCATTTGGTGGCTCAAAACCACCTGTAGCCGGGCGATGGTGGCGCACACCTTTAATACCAGCACTCGGGAGGCAGAGGCAGGCGGATCTCTGTGAGTTTGAGACCAGCCTGGTCTACAGAGCTAGTTCCAGGACAGGCTCCAAAGCCACAGAGAAACCCTGTCTCGGGGGAAAAAAAAAAAAAAAAAACAAAAAAAAAACACCTGTAATGAGATCTGGCGCCCTCATCTGGCATGAAGTTGACCATGCAGGCAAAACACTATAATAAATAAATCTTAAAAAAAAAAAAAAAGACCTAGGGAATCTCAGTCAGGAAAAGTGGGGTCTTGACCAGTGTTACCCAGCCCCCTATGAGTCCCTGTGTATAGAAATTAAATAAACATAGAGTTCACAACTTCTACAGATTAACTCAAGGTGACCCTTACACTGTTTCTGACCTCCAGTCATAGGTATTTGTTCCAAAGACAGCCGCCCCATGCTCTAAAGCTCTCTGCAAATGGAGATGATCCCCTGCTGTGGCTCTGCAGCCCCTTATGGCTTGTTGTGGTTTCAGGTAAACCCCGTCCCTCTGATGCCCAATAATTTAAAATCTGCCTTCTTCCGCACAGATTATGGCACAAGATGTGGAATCTACTCTATTGACCTGCACAACACCATGGACGCCTGAGAGATCTCTGCAGAACAGAAACCCCTTTGTCTGCTGAAACTGAGTTTCACTGAATCACACCATGCTGGCTGGTGGTAGCAGAAAGACAAAAGCATTCTAATCATGTACGGCTGAAGATTGATCCACATCATCTCTTTCTACCAGTTCCTAAACTACTTGTATCATGTACAGGACAAACCTGAAAGTGGAATTCATTATTCGGAATTTCTAGAAAGCAGGCCTTTACCTTTTCCAGCTCATTTTCCCACCGCACATCACAGTGGACAGTGACATCACAAGCATCAGATCCTCCCATGCTGAGACTGCAGAGCCTCCCCCTCCCCAGGATTTCCCACACAAGGAGGCTCACAGGACAAGGTTCACTGCCCGGGTCATTACATGGACCAACAGAACCACAGTCTGGCTCACGGTCCATTCAAGCCCCAGCAGAAATGATAGCACAGCAAACCTGCTCTGAGCACCCCACACTCACCATGGCATGGCTTGTGGTCTTTCTTACAACTCCCTATGGTCCAAGAAAGGGCCTGCAAGCTAGTTTTCCTACTGCTAAGCCTTGCCAGAGTCCCTCCTTAGCTAGGGCCACCCATCTGGACCCCAGAATATCAGCACCTCCCCTACCGGGTGAACAGAGATCTAATGTCTCAGACAGCACAGGCCTTCCCAGCTCTGCCCTTCCAGCCCAGCAGACAGAGCCCTATCTGAAAAGTTTGTACTAGAGTAGACATTCTTCCACGCTCCCGGAGCACTTTCTGTTCCTTGTTCAAGGCACAGGGTCCTTTGTGTGTAGATCGCAGTACACACTCGGTGTCCAGTGCAGTCAACCCTTTGATTCCTAGCTGGGAAGTCCTGCAGCTAAACATAGGTCACATTCAAACAGTGACGGTTGTCAAAGGAAAAAAGAGGCCATGAGTTAGAAAACAATGAGGGGTCATGGTAGGGCTTTGGGAGCAAGAAAGAAACTCTGGAGATGATGCAGTTTTTATCTCAAATAATTATTTTGAAAAGCTGAAACAGGCTTTAGTGCCATAAACTCCAGAGTCGAGGGATTTGGGTATGAGCACACCAAGGACTGCTCACACCTTCCTCTCAGCCTGCGCATCTTAAACCCGGAAAGTAGCAGTCCTGTAGACAGGGTAACAACTTCTTACAAAGACCCTCTATTTTGGCTAAACTAGTGTAACTGCAGTAATTTGGTTACGCAGATTCCTGATTGCCTTGGACTGTGGACCTCCAGAAATGGCCACATGAAATATTTATGAAGCCTCTAAGATTGGTTACCTGACTCCCCATTGTTAATATCAACTACTGCCAAAGCAGGAAAGCTCTCCCCTCCTTCCTGCCATTCTTTCTTTCTTTCTTTCTTTCTTTCTTCCTTCCTTCCTTCCTTCCTTCCTTCCTTCCTTCCTTCCTTTCTTTTCTTTCTTTCTAAAGATTTATTTATTTATTATGTATACAACATTCTGCCTGCATGTATGCCCACACGCCAGAAGAGGGCACCAGATCTCACTGCAGATGTTGTGAGCCACCATACAGTTGCTGGGAACTGAACTCAGGACCAGCTGGTGCTCTTAACCACTGAGCCATCTCTCCAGCACCCTGCCATTCCCTTTCTGTGCTGTGACTACATCAGATTCAGAGTTGATCAGTGACTCAGTTCTGGCACAGGTCCTTCTTCATCTGTAACTCCCCAGGAAAAGTCAGAGAGGTTGGAGGACACTTATTCCCTGGTCTCTTATCCTTCTCACTGACCAGTCAAGGCCCAGCCTGCAAGGAGTTGCAGGACTGTCTTCCCAGCACTGGGCAGCAGAGGCAGGATTAGGTGTTCAAAGCAATTCTCTCTCTCTCTCTCTCTCTCTCTCTCTCTCTCTCTCTCTCTCTCTCTCTCTCTCTCTCTCTCTCTCTCTCTCTCTCTCTCTCTCTCTCTCTCTCTCTCTCTCTCTCCCTCTCTCTCTCTCTCTCTTTTGTTTGTTTGTTTTTCGAGACAGGGTTTCTCTGTAGCTTTTGAAGCCTGTCCTGGAACTAGCTCTTGTAGACCAGGCTGGCCTAGAACTCACAGAGATCCACCTGCCTCTGCCTCCCGAGGCTGGGATTAAAGGCGTGCGCCACCACCGCCCGGCTCAAAGCAATTCTCAACTTCATAGCTCCTGGGCTGTAGGAAATACTGCTCTCAAGAGAAATAAATAAATCAATAGCACTTGAGAAAAAAAGGAATAAGATTCTTTCTTTTGTGTTTTTTTGTTTTGTTTGTGTTTTGTGTTTTGTTTTTGTGAGTTGGAGACCAGCCTCGAACTCACAGAGATCTGCCTGCCTCTGCCTCCTGAGTGCTGGGATTAAAGGTGTGCACCACCACCGCCTGGCAAGGAATAAGATTCTTAAAGATCACAAAACACTGGAGAACGGAGACAAATAGGGAGAACACTAATGCACATAAAGAAAATGTTAAAAATGGTACCAAGTTAAATGACTTTTTAAAATGATAAAAAAATAATGCATTTTTAAGATTAAAAACTTAGTTATACTGACTGTGAAAAAGAGTAGGCCCTTCCCCTAGTAGAGGGAAGGCCATTACTAAGAGACTGATTGATCTTGACTATATGCACATGTTGGCTGCCAAGATCCGTAACCTCACACACAGAGTTCCAATCAAACATCTGTGTCTCAGACTTCTAAGCCAACTTTACTGTGTGAACCAGACTGAACAGATCTGCACAGGAGAGTTTCCTAATTGCAAATTCAATATTCATTGCCTCATGGTAACTTTCTCGAACTGTACACCCACCAATCTGGTCTGTCTTCATTCACGTGACGTGAACTGACACGTGCTGTGAAATTACAGAGTAACTCCTCCTGCCACGATCGGGTCCTTTTTCATAACAGCGACTCCAGCAGCCTCCAGCCTACCATTTCCCCCTTCACTGCACACGACAAACTATTCTCCGATTCTGGTCCGAAGGCTCCACATGCAAACTGTTTTCCGGTAAACTGCAAAGGACAGTCAACTCCATGACTCAAAAGGATAATTTTAAAACTCTGAGGTAGCACCGTGATTTAAACTAAAATGTTCGGAGGTGTACTATGGAGGAGAGCAAGGTCATTGCCCTGAGTGCAACAGTCTGAAATCAAGACCACCTGAGTCAAGAGAAGAGCGCTCGCCTCAGGAAACCCATTTCTAAAAGGCTGGCAATGCAGCAGCACTAACATTATTGTCTTCCCAGAGAGAAATCACTCCAGAAATTTAGAAATTAGGAAAGAAAAATCTCTGTGATGAGAGCCTGCATCTATCTCTGTCTAATGCTCAGAGGAGCAGCATAGACAGATTCTGCATTCCACATCTGCTGTCATCCCTAAGTTTCTCTTAGGGTCATGTGCCAGGTTATCCTCTGAACAATTTAGATAGGGACAGGAGACCGCAAGTGTGGACACTTAGGCAGATGGGAGGCAGAGTAAAGGCATTCTCAGAATTATTTCTGAAGGACACCAGTGACCTGATGCAGTAGGTCATTCTTCAGTGACAGAATCCTGAGGGGAAAGGGAGAGGAGAAAGATAGAAAAAGGAGAAGGTAGAGAAGGTAACAGCTGGGGTGGGGAGGTCTTACACAGCTGTGTCTCATGTCAAGTAAGCTTCTTAAGAAGAAGCATCTCTTCTACTAGTTACGGGGGGGATGGAAAGAAATGGGGGCTTCTACAAAGTCAGCAGAAACTATCATACAATGAGAAAAATTCAGGAAATTAATTAAATGTTGTGCAAGGGGCATGCAGTATCTCAAGAACATTATTGACTAAGCCCACAGCGGCCTTGGAACTAATAACCATATCTCCAGTGCTGGGAAGACCTTGGCCCTCAGGATTAAAGGAACCCTCCACAGAGGCCCTGGCCCCAGACCACGACCAGCTCTGTATTCCTGCTTTTCGAAAAGAAGCTCTGTATTTTTCTCAACACACCAAGGCCTTAGGCAAAGCTCCCAAGCTATTATTCCATCCCCAAGAATGTTCCTCCTCCCTGCCTCAGGCCTAAATGAAAGCCTTGCTTGACCAGGACAGTCCTGAAAACAGCAGTGTTTTACTTTGCAAATAGTTGTCACCTGGTGTCTTACTGCCCCTCTCTCAGGACTATGCTTTTCTCAAGGAGAAAACTGGAACTTTAAGGCAGACCGGGCCTTAAGGTGGGTTGTGACCCCACAATACCTCCCCGAGCAACTTGTTAGAAGTCTGTTCTTTGATATGGCAATGGGCCTACAGACTGTGGTCACTCAAGGGTGTGTGTCACCTTTGTAATAATTTGGAGCCAAATGTCAGGAAAATCCTGGTGAGGAAAAAATGTGGACCATACTACCCTTATCTCTACCAGGCCTGGTTAGCATATACTCATCTTTGGGGTGTTTGAGAGGCTGTTAAATTCCACTTTATGAGACTTACTAGCTCTAAGCATTGGTAAATCCTTTAAGTCACCAATTTTACTTGTCTACATCACAGCTAAATGTGCAGCGCTACCCAACACACGAGATGCCTTTTGCAACCTCCACACAATTACCTGTAAACGGACCTTACAAGTAAAGGTTAAATGAAAAGTGCTGAACGTCTAGAAGATACAGGAGAAACCAGGCCACTCAAAGTTAGGCAACCTGCCTTCCATGGCTGCACCAAAAGCGCGTTGCTGTTGACTCCAAATACGGTTCCACACACAGCTGCCTGCGCCCAACGCGCTGCACAGGTGCAGCCCACAGAGCAAAGTCGTCAGAGAACCATACGGTTCAGGGAGTTGCAGAGACCGCTTAGGAACTCACCAGACAGGGATTCTAACCCAGCCCCGGGGAGTCCCAGTCACACTGGCTCCTACACCTCACCAGGGACCGCAGCCCCTCGCTCACCATGTTGCGGACGGCCCCCTCACAGCTCCTCGCAGCAGCGCTCACAGCACAGCACGCGAAAACACTGGCACCAGCTCCTCTGCAAAGCCAAGCTCGCGACCATGCTCCCGGAAGAACCCTGAACGGCTTCTGACTGGCGGTTCGGCGTGGAGTCCCTGATTGGCTGGTGAGGCCTGAGTGACAAGCGCACCTCCAGTTGGTTGCAGTGTGCTTAAAGAAACAGCACAAAAGTTTCTGACACTGCCTTCCAGCCCAGACCCAAGTGAACCCCAGACCTGCAAAGGTTTGCATTTCAATAGCACTTGCCAGTGGCTCCTCTTGCTAGTCCTGCTATCTTCCCGCACTCCTTAGGCTTTTACGATTCTTCCTCCTGAATGAACGTGACTGGTCTGCGCAACCGTTTCCAATGGCATGGAGTGATTCCCTGTGGCAGAGGTGGAAGGGTGCCCAGAATATTAACAACTTTAAAGAGTGATTTAAGGACACAAAAGGAGATGTTTGTTCTGTGGCTTCACGGTGAGGTCAGGTGAACTGAAGGAACTTCCACAGGCTCTTCAGAGAGCCAGGGAGAGAGATGCAGGGACCAGAAAAGACAACAAAATGATAGATGTCTCCCACCAGAAAACAGGATGACGGCTCCATCGCTTTAAGTTTTCTTCCAGAATTCGAGACAAACTCTTGACAAATTAATAATATTAAAAAGTGAAGTGTTCAGGGTAAGTTGAATTCTTAGCGAATCCTGGAGCCAGGAAGACCGTCTTTATGAGTACTATTGTTAGCCAGCTTATCTTCCTCAGCGGGCAGGAGAAAAAGAAATGAAACTGCATTCTTCAAGGCTCTCTACAGGAGCAGGACGGGTAAAACTCAGTCTCTCCATGCATGTAGAAAGTGGATTTATTAGAATGTCTCGCAAGCTGTGGTCCCTCTTGCCCAACAATGGCGTCTACGCAGGGGAAGTTGAAGGCTCCAGTAGTTCCTCTGCCCACTAGGCTGGATGTCTCAGCTGGTCTTAAGTACGCATCAAAGTTCCAAAGAGTAGGCTCTCCTGCTAGTAAAGGGATGAACTTGGTACCCAGAGCTAGGGCGGGGAGGCAGAGAGAGAGAGAGCTTCCTTCTTGAATATCATTTATATCTGTAGGCTGTTACGAATAGGAGTGATACAGATTAAACGTGGATCTTATTCAATCTTTGAGGTGGTATGGGTGTTTTTGAGAAATGGTTTAATTCTATAGATCTGAAACTCACTCTGTAGTCCAAATTGCCCTGAAACATAGAAAAGTCAACTACTTTAGCCTCTTGAGTGATGGGTAAAAACTGTGCACTGCCAAGAAGATGCTATGGGTAAATCCGATCAACTCAAATGATCGAGATTTGAAATGGACATGTTATTTCAAAACTCTTAAGAAAACTGCCTCACAGAGGTACCCAATATTTTGGGTTACAGTTAAACCACAGTTACTTCACTTGATTAAAAAAAATTACATGGGGGGGCGGGGTTGCAGCACCAGTTTGCTCTTGTGGAAGTACAGCGACTACACACAACGGTCTAAGGCCACACCACCCTGAATGCGCCCAATCTCGTCTGATCTCGGAAGCTAAGCAGGGTCGGGCCTGGTTAGTACTTGGATGGGAGACCAGCTGGGAATACCGGGTGCTGTACGCTGTTTTTCTTTTCCTTCTCCTCTTTTGGCCCCTTTTGGCCTTCGCGACCAAGGCCAGCGCGGACCAGGACACCACCAGGACAATCCGCACCCCGGAAAGACGGCGCACCTCTCATAAGGTTCCAAATCCACTCCCGCTCAGAGCCCTCAGGCCCGCAGGAAACTCACCCACGAGGGAAAGCACCCGAGTGGGGCAGGAATGCCAGGACCACTGACTGAAGGAAGTTAAGACTCACTCGCTGCGGGGGGTGGGTTTCACGGGTGGGAGCTGGA